GATAGAGGAGGCGTCCTGCTCCAGCAGAGTCCCCCCTGAGCTACTATCCCCAACATCACGCAACCTGGCATATTTGTTGGGGTTAACCAGTTCAGGGCTGATCTCTCTAGCACTCTTCCCTCTACCCCGTCTTCTAACAGTGACCCAGCTCCCCACCTCGGGATCCTGCTCCTCCGCGCCCTCCGTCTCAGCTGGGCCCCCCCTCCACCACAGCCTGGTGCGTTAGGTCCAGACTCTTTTCCATGTTAATTATGCACCTCAGTGTTGCCTGCGATTTTTGCAGCGATATCGCTCATATTTCCGCGCGATATCGCTCTATGTAGCTTCTCCAATACATTTCAATGGAGCTGTTCACATCTCGTCGCTCAATATCGCTTGTAGCTCGTCGCTGGTAGCTTGTCGCTCCTACATGACCCTTTTTTAGAGCGATTTTGAGCAATATTGCTCCTGATTGTGTTATGGAAATTCGCTTGGTTCAACGCACAAATCCATGTCGCATTAAGCAGCGCCAAACGCAAAGAATTTCCCCCGTTGTACTATGCTCTTTTGTGCAAGGACTGAAAGTATCCCCTTCTATAGAGTCATGTAGAGTCAGGAGACAGATGTTGCTCGTTCGTTGATCCCATGCTTAGAGGCCTGAGCGCAGGTATGTTTATTGTTTATACCTGCCCAACAGGAAGTGCTGTCAGACAGGAAGGGGTGTCTCAAACAGCGAGACAGGAAGTGATGGCAAACCAACAGCTGATTTCAACAACCAGCAAACCAGGAAGTTGGACAGACAGGAGGTGAACAGGAGCCAGCTAACAAAACACATGTAGTAGTAGAACAATCACATGTAGTAGAACAATCACATGTAGTAGAACAATCACATGTAGTAGAATAATCTATGACCACCGGAGTGACTTTATCCCGCGTTGCTCAGTGATCAATGCCACATAACGTTACTATGACTCTCATGCGCGCTCATTCACAGTAAGAACGTTATATTATCTCAAGCGTGTTGATCAGGCACCCCAGAGAGAACAAACGCACGTTCCTTTCATATATTGCGTTCCAAACAAATGTATCCACGCAAGCCAATAAATCCATGCATTGCACGGGGGGCCCCAGCCGGCGTCCATACATTCGCCAAGAAGACACTGCTCCGCCACGCATAAGAAATCTCCTCCAATGGATTAATCCCCCAGTGTCTATTTACCGAGACACTGAGAGACTAATGACAAAACATTACAATACACTAAAAACACATCCTAGTAAAATTTCACAACAATTGCATACAGCCCAATAGGAAAAAGTTGCACGATTTTCATGTCGCTCAGTGTGGTAATGGGAGGGCACAAACTAGCGTCCTCCCGTCAACCAAAGCTCAGTATATAGGGAGCTACAGCTCGTGGTATACTGAGACGCCGCAGCTGAAGCGGATCCCGACTATTATGTCTGAATGCGCCCAGCTGCGTGAGTGACAGCTGGCTCCGCCTATCTAGAGGCAGAGCCAGCTGTACCCGCCCCCTCCCCCGTCCGTTCCGCCAGTCAGCGCTGGAGGATCGGAGCGGGGAGGGGGGGATCTAGCCCCTCCACTGTCACGGCAGAGAGCCGTGACAGGATCGAGAAGTGAGCGAACGCCGGGATGTGTTCGCTCACCTCCCGATCTACTGAGCCGACCTGTGACAGTCTCATTGTCCCAGGTCGGCTAGAACTATGAGGTGAGTGAAAAGCACTCACCACATAGTTCTCCTTTAAACCAGGGATGCACCGATAC